CTGTTAGTTTTTTTTGGTTCGCGACCGCACATCTCATCAAGTAATTGCTTCCCCATCTTCAAGGTTTTCTTGAAACGTGTAAGTTCACCTGTTCCGCGTCGGGTTTTGCCGTCTTCGTTTTATGTTGACCTCGTTACTTGTTTGAGAATTTTGGAAAGTCACGAGTTTTCCCTTGGTCGTTGAACGTCATTAACTACTTGGTGGATTTACAAAGGATGAAAAGCACTATATTTGCTGGTTGATCTCAGCTAAGTTGACTGGCAAATTCTCTTTTAACCGGTAAACAGCCCCTTGTCACGCAGTATACCTTGTCAACTTGGACGTTTTATTCCGCGTACCATGCTAGTTCAATTATAGACAGTCTTTCGTACTTTTTCACTTTGAGCTGAATTTATTACAGGCTATGGAGGACTTTGATATTACAGATCCGTGGAAATAGCGAACTGCATCCTATGGCAAAGGTTTTCTGCCTTTGTGGATCTCGCTATTGAGAGTAGCCTGTCACTTCTTCCTCTACTCTAGTCTAAGTATAAAATGTGCGCCGTGGGTTTATTACGTTATTAGTTCTCATTAGTTAGGTTGCCCAATATTTTAACTAGAGCCCGTCATTACGTAGTGGGCGTTTCCACGGGAATGCGTTTTAAACTGGTTAAGAAAGACCTGTGTTCTCAAACGGCGCCATAGAGCCCAGCGATTAATGTCTTTGGTTATCGTCTGTTTGGGAAAGTGCATTTTTTTGGGGGGGGGAGGGCAGTAGACCACTTCAACGGATTTTGAATTACCACTGAGCCGACACTGCTTGGGTGCTTCTCTGCCATTCAACCACCAGCACTTCTTCTGACAGGTATAATGACATTAGTACCATTAGGAGAGATTAAAAACGCAAAACCTATCTCGTCTACATGAGTTGCTGTTATTTTTAAACTATCGCTGGCCGTAACACTTAAAACCTCTGGTCTCGTTTAAATCAACAACAGACCAAAGGCCTTTCGGCCACTCTTATTCCTCGGCCGACCGTCCCGGCGTTAGGGACTCCGTCAGGCAGCACATGTTCCTTGTCACCGAACAAAGCACAGGTTGTTCAGCAGTCTGCAGACGCCTCAGAAACCCTACAATCTACTGAGAACAAAATCGCTCCGTCTGAACAGACGCCTACGGCTGGTTG